TGCGCACTCCGGCGGATCAAACAAATTCGATATAACGCGGTTTCACCTATAACGCAGTAAGATTTTTTGGCTCCCGAGGACAGCGTTATATAGGGGTAGAGGTTTATATGGTAAGCCGCACTCTGGGATTTTACGCTGTAGCAGTGTCCACAAGTGACATTACTGCGTGGCAAGCTTGTGCGCTGTTGATTCAGATCCTGGTTTGCCATGCAGTAACTTGCCACATATCAATGATATTTTATCTTGAGATAAATCCATGGCCCATTTACTATTAATGATGGGAAAACACAAACTGCAATGAGTGGTGCGTGATGAACAGTAGCAAACACTTTGTAATTCCCCACTTCCACGCACACATGGTGGCAGCAAAGCTTCAGGTACTTTAATCTGAAAATCTTTCTTTGGACAGACAAAAGTTCATATGTCCTTTATCTAAAAAGCGAGTACACAGACACCTGCTTCTCCTTTCCAACAGGCAACCAATTTTAAATTATCTCATGTTTAGGCAATTTGATCTAATCTCTGGTCAGTGACTTCCTCTAATGAAGGATAAACTTGGCCTCTTTCTTTGATATTCTAATGGCTTATTGAGGACAAATTCACTTTATTTATTTGCAAGTCTTTCCTCCCACTAAGAGTTTAATTAGTGTTTAAACAGTGTGGATGGCCTTGATGAGCCCTGTGCACTGAGATGAATTTCACCCTTGTTTGCACTATAGGGTTTATGAAATGATGTTTTAGAAAACGGCACTAAGCACACCCATTGTACTTAGGGTGACCAGATGTCTCGATTTTATAGGGACAGTCCCGATTTTTGGGTCTTTTTCTTATATAGGCTCCTATTACCCCCTGCACCCATCCCGATTTTTCACACTTGCTATCTGGTCGCCCTAATTGTACTGTTACTTCCTAATGCTCAGACACCAATATTTCCATGGCTAGCTCTGGGTTTGGAAGTTCATTTTGGATATGGGTTAGCATGCAGAGAAGCACACCAAGCAACACATTTCAGTGTTCCCTCTCTTCTGAATGAATCTAGTCCTTGTGAAAGATGTCAGGCAGGATAGCTGTACTGCCACTGGCTGCCTGGGGACAGCTGTTGATTGTGGAAAATTAGTTTTTGCTTGAAAAAAAGGCATTAATTTAGCACTGCTTTGAAGGGTCTGCAACTTTTCTGGGAAAATGCTGACTGTAGTGGCTGTTCCCAGGTTCCTTCACCCTGTTCCTTGACAGCACACTTTATTTCTTTGTCACTGCCGAGCCCTGAACTTTTTACAAAAGGAACAGTGATTGATGCATAGAAGGGGGCAAATATCCCAGTAGTCACCTGGCCCCTCCCACCACCCTTCTCACTGCATTTATTTTTTCCCCACACATGGATCTATTCTGCCCTGTGCAGAGGGAGCACATGGGTTCATGTAATGAGTCTAGTAGACTTATAAAAAGAATAGAGAAGGATCACAATGGAAGGTCTTCCCACAGCAGTGCTGCATTAGACTGATGCTGTTTTTGCTGCCTTTATTAGGTTTATCCAGTCTATTAGGTTTGTCTTTCTGGCCCCAGATAAACACCCAAGTATAATACTCAAAGTGTATATCTAAATATGTACAGAGAACATAATACATTGAAAGATGAACTTCTGGCCTGTGTCTTTACATTGCATTCAAAGCTTCAAAACTTGGTTAAAATTTTCTGAAGACATGTTTTTTAACTCTCTCTCTCATATACTTGGCTGCATTTGTTCTGGTTTTGTTGTTTTCATCTTCATTGTAGTAAGAGCCTCAGGACACTTCATTTTTTTAAAGTAATATATCATGGTCACTGCTGCTTATTTACTGAAGATAGGGATTCATCTGAAAATGTTAGTCAAACCTAAACTGACAAAATAATATTCCAGACTGAATAAAATATCTTTAGTGGATGATGTTGAAATAACAATATTTATTGTCAGCTGAGAATGTCAGTATTTCTGCACTGGATGATCATTATAAACCATCACCTCAACCAAGAAGTGTCTTAAGAAAGAGCAGCCATGTAGAAGACAAAGATGTTGCCAAGGCAGAAGATAAGGCTTCTTCTAGTTACAGATTATCTTCATTTTCTGCACCATCCTCCCTGACTAGGCTGAGTGACAAAATAACAACATCTGAGAAAAGGGCACTTGCTGAAAGCCCTAGTCCTGAGGTAAGAGAATTATTGTAGTATCTATTATGTTTGTGCATAGTTATCTATTTTTTTTTCTTCTACGTATGTTTTGCCTATTCTAGACTGTGGAATAACATAATCTACATTAGAGGCTTTTTTCCAAACACCCTTTTTATTCACCTGTGATTGTGATACCATTTTCCATAACAAAAAAATAGGGGGTGGGGAGAGGGTGAAAGAGGTACATTTAATCAAGTTTTCAAGCAGCATTGCTCCTTGGATTGAAAAAGTGGAGCTTCTGTGTTAAATAGTCTCCTACATTTGCAACTTTGAGCATTCTGTTGCCTTGCTGTATCTCTTTATTGATCTACAAGGAAGTAGTTCTCAACTATAGGTCATTAATATTGGCAGAATTTGATCTTTATTTTTTATAATTTCAATGAATAATATCATTGTTTATTTTAAAGCATTTTTCCAATTTTTATTGATTTAGTTTTTCATAGTTGTGCAAAATTATGGGTTTTAAGCAATTTTTTGTATTTACTTATTTAAATTTTCACTGTTGCAGGAAATTATGGATGGAGTCAAACAATCTGGTGGGGGGTCAGACAGTAATTATTTGATCACAGTAGACCTTAAGGTTCAGAAAGTTAAAGCTTTATAGCCATTAAAACATAAATTGTCAACATCATATGTCTAAATATGCAAAACAAATAGCATCATTTTTTTTTACTTTACCTATCTGTAAATTTTTATTATTATTGATGGAAATATTTTTAGTGGATTTGTGTGTGCACAGTGAAATTGACATTTACCAGTAAAAATCTAATCCTTCCAAGCCTAGCGGTATGTTGTTATAAAAAAGTTCTATCCCTTTTCATGCACATTTTTCTTCACCAATGTAACATGACTAATAAGTTGTATGTAAAGATTTCTTTATGCTGTGAACAGAGACCTAAGGATGACTGCATTAATTTTGTTTTCTCAAAATTGGTGGATGATGGTGTGGAAAGAAGGTCATAGGGACAGAATCCTTCCTCCATAAAATAGAAAAATGCTCTAGGCAGTACACCTAGTTACCATGTCAGTATGCAGAACCTTTCCACAGAGGAAGGGTAGTGGCCTATGTTGAGTCTCAAACTGACTAGTATATATGCTACTTATCAGCAGTATTCAGAGGAACAGCAGCAGGTTGAACACTACTCCTTGTTGCTATGTCCTGCCATGGGGAAAGTGCCTAATTGTGCCTGCAGGATTCTTATGGCAGACGATACAGCTGACATCATCTTTGCTCTTCTTTGGCCATATCTACTGCTCCACATTTGGGACTAAGGGGGTGTTACTAGCATTGCCCACCAAAGTCCTGTGCTGTATCTCCCCTGTGTGGATGTTGCAGGCACAAACTAAAAGGTTCCTAGTTTGCATTAACATCACTTCTTTTCATGCCCCTATAGTCCAAACTGTGGGGCAGTATAGACAAGCCATCTGCTTCATTATTAAGGGCAGGATTTGACCTTAATGTGTGGTGAGTTTATGCCCTTTTTAAAATCTGTTTGTTTACCTTTACATCTCCTTTAATTTAAACAGTAGCCATATTTTTCTTAAGGAACTTTAAATAAATATTGCATAGAAAACTATGTTTTAGAAGCAAGTTAACTGATTTTGATTTGGTGTGAATTGTTCATGTTGCTTATGCTGTCACTTTCTGCTTTAAGGGTCCATGGCTAACAAGCTCTCCACCACCGTTCCCTATTCATTTTCATTCAGCTGATGAAACATCTGGAGACTCCAATTTGTTAATGTGTGGCGAAGGCTCTCCTTCAAAAGGTAGAAATCAATATACTTCATATAGAAGCATTATACTTGAATATGTGCAACCAGTGAAATAATATAATTGCTTAGTATAAGCAACTTTTAAGGGCCTGATACTACTGTCCATGATGTCAATGTAGTCTGTTTCCATTGATAGAGGTGGATCCAACCCCAAGTTTATTTTAGAAATCTGAGACTAGCTGCAGTATGCATCTCCCCTGCATTATTATGTATTATTGGTGTCAGTTTGTTGCAGAGGAGTAATCAATAAGGTTACATCTACACTACACACCGCTTTTGGTGGCCTATAGTATACATACCCATGTAGCCCCCCTAATATAAATAGTAGTGTAGCCATGTAGTGGGGCATGACTTAGGCGAGTAAAGACATACCGAAAGGATGTGGATAGGTATGTGAATACATACCCTACACATTTTCTACTTGCCCAAGCTGAGCCTTCCTATCTACATTGCTATTTTTAGCAGCGTAGTGTCCTGCTGCCTTCCTGCTTTGGAGCCTTTCCCCTCCATGAAAAGACTCCCCCAGTGGGGGGAAGGTTCTGGTAGCGGGGAGGCATCAGCTGCCTCCCTCTTGCCAAAGCCTTTCAGTGACGTGTAGCTACACAGCTCAGTGTGGACACTGCCTACTTTTTCCTGGGGTGTGTAACTACATGTACACTTCACACTGCTGAAAGTGATGTGTAGTGTTGATATAACCTAAGATGGCTTCTGGAAGTTTACTATAGTTACATTAACAAATTGAAATCATAACTGATGTTGTTTGCAGGTTCTTTGTTACAAGCAGTTCTGAATAGTGTCAGAAAGCATGATACATAAGAACTAGATAAACATTCTTTTTAGGAAGACAGACTAAAGTTTGAGAAATGAGCTCCTACCTTTGCTCATATTCTGTGTACTTAACACTGTCTAAACATCTTTGAGACTTGCTTAAACTACTGCTCCTGAATTTCCCTCTCCATTCCAACCTAGTCACTTTCTTTAATTAATAATCTCCATCTGCCTTCAAATGTCCCTCATCCTCCTTCACCCCTTCCAGGCACAGATCTATCTTAACAACTGACTAGATAAACTGTTGGTCACCATTTCATGTATAATGGGAGGATGGTCTTGTGGAAATTACAATGTCTGCATTCTGTTCCTGGTTTTGTGAACTTGCTCAAGTTACTTATCCTCTCTGTATTTCTGTTTACTATTGCTTAAATGGGGATGATAAATATTACTTGGTTTCTGCATTGTACAAGACACAGACATACCGAGAATCCATGCCCCAAAGAGTTTACAATCTGTAAGACTGATACAGATAGATAAGATGTACAGGCGGACTCATAGAAGAAATTAATAGAGTTTAAATGGGGCCCCGCTGTGCTGTGTGTTATAGAATATGTATAAAAGGTAGTTGTCCTTGCCCTGAAAAGTTTACCATGTAGACAAGATGGACAAAGGGTTAAAAAAAGGATATAACATATAAACTGAGGGATGACTGGAAAGTGTCATGTAATATATATATTTAGTTTGTACTCTTGGGTTGAAGAATACATTTGATGTGAGTTAATGCTTGTGGGCATTATGGTGAAGCAAGTCTTTTGGACAGCTTTGAACATGGAGAGGATGGTGAGCCCTGTTGTACTTGATTGGAGAGGTTTTCCATGCATGGAAAGAAGAGATGAAGTAGTGAAGATGAGGACATTTGTGGAGCAAACGAAGAAGGACAAATATGACAGACAAACAATACTGAGATGTAGTCTGGGGCAGATTTGTTCAGGGCATTGAAAGAGAAAATAAGAAATGTAAACTTGATACTGTAGTCTGTAGATGGGGGAACAAGTGGAATGGTTCTAAGAGGGAGTGCTATAGTCTGATCTGGCAAGGAAGATATCACAATAATAATGGTTGTCTTATAGCATTTTTCAACTAGAGATCTCAAAGCACTATGGGAAGATGGTACTGTAATCTCCATCTTCCAAATTGAGGCACAGAAGTAAAGTGATTTGTCCAAAGTCACACAGTAAATCAGTGGCAGAGCTAGCAATAGAACCAGGTGTCCCAGCTTGCAGTCCAGTGCCCTGTCCACTAACTCCATAGGACAATGGCAAGTGTTGCGGTTTAATTAATTTTTGTAAACTCCTCTAATACCTATAATTGGAAAGTGATATGCAAATAAAATATGCAAACTTTACTTAACCACAGGAGACAGAAACTTGTTTATATAATAATGCAGAAATTGTGCACAATTAGAGTTCTCATTAGTACTCTGGACTTTCCAGTGATTTAGCTTTCACACCTTCAAATTAGAACTTGTCCAAATGTTACCTTATAGAAGCCTTATAGGATACAGAGATCTCCAATTCATTGTCTTAGATCACACTCTCCAAATTGTAGGCCCAGCTGCATAGCTGCAGTGATCTCGTAGCTAATTCCCTGTCACTTCCTCCTTTCAGAATTCCACCAAAAATGTGCACAGGAATGTAACTTGAGAGTTACTATGGCTTCTCTTGATATTTGTCTTTATGTTTTACAGGTATAGAAATCCTATATTTATCACAGTGTAAATTACATTAGGAATACCTGTTTAAAGCCTTTTTAAAATGAATGCTAATTAATGATTATTCCAGTGAGGCATACATTTAGTCTTTGATTTGTATTTTTTAAGTGCTGCATAAAAAACCGCCATCAGCTACTTAGCAAAATTTTCCTGTTCCAAAGGGGAAAATGTGTATCTGAGTCAGAAATAGCATATAAAGTGTGTTCTGCCATTGTTTTGCAAAAACCTCTATAATACTTCAGTGAACGCCAGAGTAGCTCTTGATGTGATCCAAATGTTTCTTGCTGTTACTTCATGTTAGAAACTTGTCTGGATCTGATCAGGTGACTAAATAGTTTACAGTTTTGCTGAACTGTTTTATCTCAAAACTGCTGCGACTTGCCTTAAAATAAAAAAATACATTTGTTGCAGCAGTAATATTAACTTGTAATATGATTTTTATGTATACTTTTGTAAGTTATTAAGGTATACAGAAGATAATTTGTCTTGTATTAAGCTTAATGAGCTTTTTCATACATGAATATTTTAAGTACCGTATAGAAATATCTCAATTAATGAACCACAAACTTTTTCTTAAAAATTACATCTCTTGATGTCTTATTTCTCATCTCCCATATTGTTTTTTTTGACTTGCTTTAGCCCAGGATCAAACAGTAGATGATGACTGCAGGGATTTGAAATTGGAGAATAATGGCAGAAAATCGCCATCTGTGATAGAACTAATGATGACTACAGTGTATGAGAAAACTAAGAAACTACAGAAATCAACTGATGACCAGCTTGAAGAAAATTTGCAAACATTGGAAGAGAAATTCATTGCTGATGGCATAAAGGAAATGTCACTGAATGATAAATCTGAAGACATGGCGGAAATGAGCACTTCAGAGGACTCGGACAAGGTATCTTTTAAACATATAATTTTGTATCATAATTTATAATAAAGACCTGGAAGCTTCAATGAAAAGTTATCATATGAAACTTGTTGGTTCCATCTTGTATATGTACAGATATTATTTTATAATAGAATCAATATTAGAAGCCACCCATTACTGCCTGGTTTCTGGTATTGATTCTGTTCTCAAAATTGATGCTATTTTATAAGATGAGGGGAACATACATTCAATGAATATTTAAAAACAAATAAAAGGTACCAAACTTTGGGCTTGTTGGCCTTATTTAAATCCACGTCTAGAATTTAAAATAAACCGGGTCAGATCTTTAGGAGGTATAAACTGGCTTAGATCAGTTGAGGTGAATATGCCAGCAGAAGGTCTAATTTACAATGTTTTAAGTGCTGTTCACACCAGTGATTTGTATAATGCATATGGTAAGTGTTAGCTATAGTACAAGGCAAAAAGAGAATATACTTATACTTAGATTGAAAGCTTTTTAGGGCTGGAACTGTCTTTTTGTTCTATTTGAGCCCAGCATGCTGGGGTCCTGGTCCATAACTAGGACTGTTCAGCGCGCTGGTAATACAAGTAATGAATAATAACTGTATACTATCTACTTTCTCTTTCTATATTAAGACACTTTTAAAATGTAATCCCGACTAAATAGTGATGTTTCTGTGTAAAGTACTATAATGGAGATTATGGTATACTTTATTTTGGTTTTTATTTATAAGATCATGCTGGACTTCATCTTGGCTACATTTTGTTGATTATAATAAGCACAAAGAATGGCAGAAAATACTTGTTCACCTTCCTTGCATTCATATTTTGCACTCCTGTATTTTATGAAGCCTCTGATACAGCATTTCCAGAGTATATGCTGCAGAACTGGTTTTGTTGTTTGACAGGTATAATATTTTTATTTTTCCTTTTCGGTTTGTTAGAAAGAATTTGAATATAAGGAGACACTTTCACAAAAAGTGAGACCTTCTTCATCAAGCAGGTAAGTAAACGATACCGATATGTCAATGTTTACAATCTGATCCCATCTGATATGATCTCTTCAGAAAGGTAAGATACGCATGATCGACACACACTGGCCACTCATTCATCACACCCATCATCACCCTGTCACCAACATTTGGCCTTCTGTGGAAGGGTGCTGGAGGAGGGGAGGTGCAGCTTTTTTGCAGGGTGACAACCCTCCACATCTCCACTGGCAGATCAGACCCACCAAGGGCCTTTGTCAAAATCTTCATCTATTTGTGCCATGAGACCCACAAGTGACTCTAGCCCACGGTTTTACTCCTGGGAGATTTCTGTGCCACTGCACATGTGCAGAATTTATGTCCCCCACAGATTTCTTTGCTTACCTGCAGAAAAATGACTTTCTGATGGGGAAGCAAAGGGAAGCCACAAGAACGGTCACGTGACCGTCCCCAGCAGTATGTTTTGGGTGCCCAGGGAAGCCAGCAGAGAGGTAAATCACTGTGGGGCAAGGGGCAGGACTGGGGAAGACCTGGCTGGTGGTTCCTACCCTGCACTGGGCTCAGCTTCTAGTCCCGGCTGGGCTGGGGAGGACATGACTTCCTCTTCCCCTGCATGGCATCCAGAGACCCCAGATTTCTCCCCCAGCTGCAGGAATCTCTGCAAACTCTTCATCCCCTCTGCTTCCTGCACCCATCGCTCCTCAGCTGCAGGGGGAGGGATCCTTGTACAGGGAGCTGGTCCCCCATCCGCTCAACCCCTGTGCATCCAGACCCCCTCATACCTAATCCCTCCAACCGAGTCTCCCCCACCCTTGCTCCTGGACCACCCTGATGAGCCACCTGGATCCCCACCCCACCAAGCCGCAACCAGCTGCTCCTAGATCCCCACCCCACTGAGCCCCACTCCTCCAGCATGTAAACCCCCCACTGACCCCCCAAACCCAGACACCCCCGCCGAGCTCTATTTCCCCCCCCCCCCCGACACAGACCCTGGCTGAGCCTCAACCACTTCACCTGGACAGACTCCCATTACTATGGCACCCAGAACCCCAGAACAAGCCCCTGTGGATCCAGATTCTCCCCTGCCCCCCCACTGAGCCACCCGCACCCAGATTGCCCTACATAGAACCCTCTTAACCCACACCTGGATCCCTCCACACTTGGATCCTACTTTGCTGAGCCTGCCTGCCCACACTTGGTGCATCTGGCACGGAGGGGCAAGGCCCTGGTGTGTTTCTGGGGCAGGTCCGGTCCTTGGTCTGTGTCAGGGTTGGGTGCAGCCTCTCCACTGAGTCCATGTTCCAGGGGGGAGATGCACAGTGATCTCCCACCTCTGTGCAGCCAGTGGCCTGTGCTCCCCAATGCCATGCTGGAGCCTCCACATTTATTTGATAAATAAAATTTGAAGAATTCTTAATTTTTGGCGCAGAATGCCCTCAGGAGTAACAGTTTGTACCTGTCTCAACATGTTCTTGTTAGGTTAAAGCATATAGGGCTTCTAATACTTTTGAACTGAAATTATTGTGTTTGTGGAGTTCACATTCTCTATTGGGTTGGCTAGCAGAATTTTTGTAGGTCCTGCAGGTTGTTTTAGTAGTGATAAAATCAATGTAAAAGCAGAAATGGACAATTCAGGCTGTCTCCTCCTCTTCCCCCCCCCCCCCCCCCCCCCCCAAAAGATATAACCTTGTGAAAACAGGATTATAAGCAATATCTTGAAGTAACTTCAATGAGAAGGCGCTCTACCTGGCATCCACTATAAGAAACTGAAAGCTTATTTTGATATATTTATGAATTGATGCTTCACAGGTCTCTGTCCTCTACATACTTGAAGAAAGCTGGGAAAACCATCCCTTCATCTACAACTACATCTTCTCAATACTTGGGAACATTAAAGGTCTTGGACAATAAACACTTACAAAAATACAGTGCTGAGCTTGACAAAGCAGATAGTCTACGAGCAGCTGTTTATCAGGTAAATTTTGGCATATCAAAAGCCTGCATGAAAAGATCCTACCAATAAGAATAAAAGCCTGTTAATTATACTCAATGTGTGTATGCACCTTTCTTAAATCAAGACTTTTTTTTATTCTTAAAAAATTATGCTTCACTACAAAGGGTGGATTCAGATGAGAAAGAAACAAACTTATCTCTATTTTACTGTTGTGGCAAAATGTTTTTAAACACAATAGATGATCTCCATTATTATATTTGTTGTTTTTTATTTTTAATATGTATCCTATACATCCTATACATTCTTTTCTCTGTATTTTCTGTTCCAAAGGCACATTTAATGGGAAAGGTAAAAAGAACTTGATGTCAGATCTTACATTTTTCCCTGGAGCAGCATAATTTATCTGAATTCTGCTGCCCTCTGTAGTAAAAGTGAGCATAAATCTCAACTGTGGTCATAGCCGTCTATTGATCATAAGTTATTTCCGCATAAGGAAAATCATATTCACTTAACTAAACAGTTTAATGGTTCTAAATGTCATGTTGTCTCAAGTATTTTGTGTTCATTGACTCATAGCCACTTTCTAAAGTCAAATAGTCTTCACTGAGATATTTTAGCTTCTCAGTACAACATACTAAACACATGAACAAATGTACAAAATTTGACCCTGATCCTGAAAACACTCACCCACTTCTAAAACTTTGTGGATGTCTATAGCCCTTGAAGCCAATGGGTTGAGGACTTTTCATTGCAGATATTTCTGAATTAAACATATAATAGGTTAGAGTTTTTTACTAAATTTTGGGATCCTGTAGATCCTAAATGGCTAAAATGTATTCTGTACTTTTAAAACAAAAATCACCCAGGGGAAACTTAAAATAATGGTTGTAGATATTTTGTATTAAAAGGTTTAGTAGCTGCAGCTCATTCTTGTATATGTATACATGGGGATGCTTCCTTCGCTCCCCAACAACTATTTTTCTGATGCCCTATTGAAGATTTTGAGACGTAGTGTTATGTCATTTATATTGCTCTGCTCTCCCATCCCTCCACCCCCCAGGATTTTAACATTGGAGGTAAATCAACCAGTTAGCTCCTCCTTCTTTCCTGCCCTTCCATGCTCACATTCTCTTTCTTTTATTTCCATACTGAAATCTTTTTGTTAAAATAGAGTTATTAATTTCTTAAGTTTTATTCTTAAAAGTTGAAACCTTTGATCAGAATATTTTTTGTGCTGCAGATCCTCAGAATGTGGTTTAAATGATACCTCATCCAAATGGGCTTATTGCTATAGTAATAGTTTGCATATATAAAATGATGATGATGATGATTTTTATATATGAAAACAGAAATACTGTCAGCATTGCCTATGGTCATTACATCAGATGTTGCTTTATCAATAATACTCAGTTACTTTGGTACAAGATCTAGTTACTGCTTAAAACTCTTCAGCTACAGCTTTTTCCTTAATCTTATAGGATTGGTTGGAAAAGAAAAGAGTCTTTCTACTGGAACTGCAGAGAATTAAAAGGAACAAAGCAGAAAATTTAAAGAATGCAAATGAAAAGGTTTGTTTAAATGTAAATATTTGATTAAATAGGAGCTATCCAACTGCCACTCTGTAAAGTAATGTCATTACAATATTTGTTGTGATGTATTTAAAAAAGGAAAGAAGCAGAGAAATGAAATAGTGGAAATCCCCTTCATTGGAGCCACTTTGCAACCCCTCAACCATCAACAAGCATCTCTAAATCCATCATAGCGAGCCACAAGAAGATTGCTCCAGTTTATGTGGAATGGGGCTGATGTAATAGCTCTTATATGTCCTAATCCTTGTGGCTGCCACAGGGAGTGTGGCTAGGGAAAAGAGGGGTGTAGCTGGTGCTTCCCTGCACCCTTAGAATCCTTGGATGCCATATAAATTAAAACTATCTTTGCAGCTCCCTTCATGTTTCACTTTGTGCTTCTTGACTGCAGCCAGCAGTCTGGGTCCATCTTTGTGTTTTTATTATGATGATTATGGGATAGTCTGTATTTCAGCAATGAAATTTAAAGAAGTCATGTGTCTGAAGATTTTCTATATTCAGCTGTATGTAAGCGTCTACATTTAAAGCAACATGTATGCAATTATATTATATTCATCTTCCTTAGGAAAAATGAAGAGAATTTATTATTTAAGAACTAATGTTTTTTTATACACAGTCTTCAGAAGTGAATCATAGTAGTTTTTATATCTATCAATCTTGTAGAAAACAGCCTCATATTATAGGTCACAAAAATTGGTCATGCTTGAGCAGTAGTTCAAATCACAACTGAACCACTCATTTAGAATGTCTTCTGCAAGTCAGTTTTCTTTCATTTGTTTCTTTGGCTAACACTACATTTGAGAGTTTATGAAATGCAACATTTTCTGAAGTATAAATTTTTCTTATGTAGAAAGAAGCTACTAAGAAAGAAGAAGCAATTGCATCTTTTGAAGCCTGGAAGGCAATGAAAGAAAGAGAAGCAAAAAAGAAACTAGCTGAAAAAAAGAAGCTTGAGGAGTTGAAGAAACGGAGAGCAGCAGAACAGAATGAAGAGAAAAAAGAAGAAGCTCAAAAGGCAGTGAGAAATCTATACCTGACACACTTAACTCAAGAGAGTCCTTAGTAAAAATGTAGTTGACAACAAGAGATGGACCCAAACCATACCCCTAGAGCCGGATACCCCGATCTTTGGGAGAATTCATGTCTAGACTGTCTTCTTTGTAGCAGGGGCTAATCTCTCATCCTATGCACATACACACATTTTTTCTATTGACATTTAGGTTTTTTTAATGTGAAATACTTTGTTCCATATACATAAAATAGTTAATCAACTGAGTAACGTGTTGGCAGCAGAAAGGCTTTTCTAAGGAGCTGGGAGTAGTAAATTCTTCTTGCTCCTTGTAGCAGTATGTTTTGTGGAGCTAAAACCCTGTGAATGAGCAATCCAAAGGGGGATGGGTAGGAAAGAAAAATATCTATAATGTAAGGGAAGTTTTGGAACAAAGATGATATGCAACTTTGCTAATGAACTTGAGGTCTTCTTTAGGCATTTGAAAAATGGAAAGAAAAGAAAGCAGAATATCTAAGAGAACAAAGTAGAAAGGAAAAACGAGCTGAAAGAATCAAGAAGAAGAAAGAAGAGGAAGCTATTGCAGAAAAGAAACGAGACAGCATGTCTGCTGTTGATAAATGGTACTGCTACAGAGGATTTAGTTACATAACTGTGTATGGGCCAGCACCTATGTCTAATCATTTTGCAGGGAATATTTGGCCTGAGGGCCTGAACCTGCAAGGGGCTGAGGATCCTCAATTCTCACGGAAATCAGTGGGAGGGAAGGGTGCTTAGCACCTCACAGGGTCAGGGTCATTGTTCCCAAATGTGAGTGTGGTAGCTTCATTTTCGTTCTCATTTGTCCACCTTATAAAACTTGCCATACAGCTTCTATTCAATCTGCTAAATTGAAAGTCTCTTCTCAAGAAAAGCCAATGATTTGAAAAGTATGAATGTTGCAAATCAAAAGTGAGGTACATTGGATAGCATGGAACCTTGTACTACCAATCTCATGCTTAATTAGTAACCCACGATTAAAAAAGCGGGCACTACAATTTGGGGTTTTATATAGTCTATTGTGTTTCTTGGAAATCTAACAAATGTCTGGACAAACCAGGTATATTCACCAGTACATGAGATACATGTCTGCTGGATAGATTTTTTTTCTAATGTCACCAAGAAGTGTGCTTTGTGCTTTACAGAACAAGTGAGACTGATTCCTACCCTGAAGAGGTTATAGTCTAATTTTAGAGATGACACAAAATGTGAGGAAAGGGAGAAGGAAGAACAAGGATTACAATAACACTAAGGGGCAATGCAGCTTATACATGTGCATATCTTGATGGTTCAGAGGGTTTGTGCATGTATAGGTGGCCTTTGAAGATTTTTTTAAGTTTTGTTTGTAGTTTATCCTCCAACCATGTTATCAAATTTGTCAATAGACATAAATGTCAATTCCTGGTACTGTTCACGATGTTTGATTAACCAATCACATTTGCAGCATTTTTTTAATTCAGTGAATAGTATCTTATATTTCTCTCCATATTTAGGAATGAGAAAAAGGAAGAATTTGTAAAACAAAAGAAGACAGAAAAAATCCAAGAGAAAAGACAGCAAGAAATAGAACAGGTTGAAAGGGAAGAAAAAGATAAAAGGGCTCTGGAGGAATATGAAAGATGGCTGGTAAACATATTTTTTCACACTTCACTACATTTATGCTTGTGTTTTTTAACAAATAATGCGTGTGAATAACTTTTGAATTATAATCGTCAATGCTTTTCATCATGTTATGAAAGTGGCCAGGTGATGGCAGTACTATACCTTTTCATGCAGTTCCTCTGAGAGTTATTTTAGCAAATCACTTAAAAGTGCAGTGTATACGACATCTGGCATGCACAGGATATAGTCTCCCTATCTATGTGCCATAGAGTTCTTTGCATTTTACAGTTAGTGAAAGTACAGTCTTCTCTTCTCCCATTCAATGTCAGGAAGAGCCACCTCTGAAGGGCCAACTCAGCACAGCACAGAACCAGCAAAGGCTAGAAGCAGCACCAGCTGCAAAAGTGAGTGCATTTAGATTCAAGGAAACAGTTTTAAATATGGGAAGTTGTATAAATCAAAATAAATAAGAACAGTTACACTAAGGATTGAGATTACCTCCATTTGATAGGAAGGGGTGACCTCTGATGTGCTATTGTGGGAAGAAGTCATTAGGAGCCTTTCCAGTCCCACAAAAACCAAACAAGTCAAGATTTCTTTACTACCGCTCAGGGGAACCCTAGGATACAGATAGCTAATGCACAGGAACATATACTGTGCTCTCAAAGGGTTTGATTTGCTGATTAGGAGAATGTCTAGCTTCTTCTGCCCCATCCCCACCACCACCTGTGGTGATGCTGTCGGCAGCACACTGAGGCATCAATCCTGCAAACAGATAGTCCCACTAAAGTGAAGCACCTACTTACATGTTTAAAGCTGAGTATGTGCAAGTGTTTGCAGGATCAGGGCCTAACTGGCATGCTTGTTGCTGCTCTTCTGAACGGGAGCAGATTGTACCCCACCTCACATCTCCTCTGTCCATTTTCTGAAATCTTGCCCTTGGCTGTGGCTCAAGTCTCTGTATTTTGGAGGTCACATCAGCCAATGTTTCTGTTCATCCTTGCTCTGTTGGCCAGAGCAGTATTTAGGCTTATATAAAAACAATGAGAATGTAAAACTTTCACTTTTTATAAATTTAGGGAAAGAACACTTGTATGACTCAAGTTGTCAATTTATTATCTAGGTAACTAAGAGGATTTTTGTATGTACCCAGATTATTGGTGTCAGTAGCTGTAAGAAGGTAAATAAGTAAAAAAGTGTTCTATTAGAAGACAAGTAACGTAATGAAAATCTATTAATTCTTCCCACTAGCAATCAGTAGGGAAAAATAGTTTTGAGAATTAATTAAATCTTTCAGCTCATGGAGCAAATGGCAGCCTTTATGGATAGCACAAAACAGGAATTTTAAAATCCTCTCTAAATCATAAAAATACAATAGAACAGGGAATTCTGTTGTTACTGAAGTGTCATACTGTGGCATAGAGTTCACCGATTGTGTGCATGCTTATCTCAAGGGAAGGGTGTCGACAGGACTTTTTCCATCCTGGAATTTAAAACTCTAGAAATGGAGATGTTGAGTTTTTGTTATTAACACTTCTAAAACTCTAAGATGAAAAAGATAACTTTGTTTCCTCTACAGTTAGTCCAGTAATTAAAATTCTGTTTTTGTGATATTATTTACCTCTTAGATACTCAATTTAATAGCAATAGTGGTTCAATTTCCATTTTGTTATACCATGGAGTTATATCAATACCTGAAATAGATTAACAGATGCATGTAGGCATATTAAAATATTTGCAAGCATATATACTGACACCACACCTGATTCTAGCTGGTGAGTAGTGAGATTTCAAGTAAGCACTCTTTTCAAACTACAGATCTTGGAGATTTGTATAGTATAGCAAGTTTATGTATCCTCTAAGAAGCTTGGCCCTTATTCTGAGGGTTAGCACTGCTCAACACCCAGTTTTTTAACATTATTCATCTAATGATGCACCTTATACGTTTATATGCTCTAGGAGTTGTGGTAAATTGAATTAGATGGGTTTTACAGATTTGTTATTTTTTTGTGTTGGAAATAATTTGGATGATTTTACAGATTTTAAGGCTTGTTTTGAAAGATTTTATATATTGGAAATTTAGCCTAGTAGTGGTGTAGTAGTGCTCAGCAGTGTTGAAACATGGGCTTTACTACTATTCCTTTTATCTTTCTCCCTAATGCTTCATTAACTGCATAAAACAAAATCGTTATGTTGCAACCACACTGCCGTGGGGTATGGTCTGGTCAGATGTTGTAAATGAAGAAAAGTTGCACTGACTCAGTTTTGTTGAAGCAAGTGTGCAAAAACAGCAGTGTGAACATTGAGCCTCAGCCAGCAGCTCAGGTTCTCAAGTCCAGTCAGCCCCCGGGGCTGGAGCTTGGGTGCTAGGCCAAGTCTCCTCTGGACATGCAGTATCCCTGCTGCTATTTTTAGCATGCTAGCTCAAGCCCTGCTAGCGCAAGTCTGTCTGCCAGGCTCGGAGTCTCGCTCACAGCTGCAGTTTAAACCTACCCCGAAACAAACATTATTTAATGTATGACTGGCTGCTGCTGCTATTTTGTTTCTTACTGTATCTCTTCCATAATTCTGATTATGCTTCCCACAACACCTGTGTGCACACAACCCTCTTATTTATTATTTGGGGAGGAGGAAGGTTTTTGGTAAGTTATTTCTCATGGGGTTGTGAGTAGTGGTGAGGACTACTTGGCCATGTTCGAGGGGTGGGAGAGATGATAGCAGAAGGGCTCTCTTGGCAGGACTTGCTTATCAAATTCTCTCTTTAAAAACCAGCCAAACAAAAACAAGAACACTCAAACTATAAAAAAAACTTCATTAATGCAAATTAAGGTTAGGAACTGAAACCTCAAGAAATCAAGAAATGCTTAATTAAGCTGCCCAGACCAGCTTTAATGCTCATCCTGGAGTATATGCTGTGCAATTGGGTTTTTCCTTAAACAAACATACTATGCAGCATGTACTCAGTAATACCGTGTTACATATAGCAAGGTGCAATTCCTTAGTAAGATATTATTTGTGAAGTACTGGCCACCAGTGATACGATAAATCCTATTTTTCTTTAATCATTAGATATCAAATACCAGTCCTAAAATTTATTTCTGTACTCAATACAGATTCCAGAGTGACTGCAATTAAGTTAATTCTGAAATACATCTGCAGTATGTGTGAATATATTCCAAACAGTGTGCACTAATCATATATTTATTCCATTTTAGAGTATGTACCCATCCTAAACTCATATGCAGCTCAGTATTTCAACAAGAATATAAAATTTTGCCTTGACAGTACAAACTCTTTCCTCCTCAAACCACTACAGTGTTCCCTTAGAAAATCCTAAAGACTTAACTTGCAGCTTGACTGAAGGTCAAAAAGCTCAGGCTTTGTCAGTCAAATGAAGGTTTGCTTTGGAGTGGGGAGAAGAGAGCAGCGGCAGCTTGTAGAGGCAAAAGTTAAGTCAACTAGTCTGGAACCTCAAAGCTTATATTATCACTTGGGCCCAAGATATTCCTTGCATCTCTCCATTGATTTCAGTGGAATAATTAGATGTGAATCTGGCCAAACCAGACTGCCCATCCCTAATTCAAAAAGCATTTTAGAAGGAGTCAGAGTTTGGGAATTCATTGACTGCCCATTTTGAAATTTCTGTTGAAAACCAAGAATGAAGAATGAATTATAAATATTTTACAAAGGAACAAACTAAAAATTTCACATAACGTGAAATTATTTTTGCAAACATGCTGCTCAACATCATTGTTCTAATTTCCCAATGCTATGTTTGAAACTATAAAAAAGTCATTAGAACCTTATGACACTGTTAGCATGACATTAAAATGACAGAGCTTTGTTATAGCTAAACTGTTAAAAACCTGTTTTGTTACAGCATAGTGCCCGAGTAATTTAGAAAGCACTGAAAGGTATAGACATCAAACACCATCCTTTTTTATTGAAAACAGTATTTAAAATTGGAATTCAAGAGTCCTATATTTGAGGCATTAAGATGCGAATAGTCAATTGAAGATAAATACAGAAATTAGCTTGCCTATGCCTTGTATGTTGTGCTCCGCGTTTGGGTAATGCACAGCATAGCTCAGCTCCAAGCATTCACCTGAACCTGGGAGAAATGTAAGTCTGTAGCATGGATGTTGCACTGCTCATGCTGTGCAGCTGTATTTCTATAAGGGATGCTAGGATGAGCTTCCAAGCACAACTCCCTATTGCACATTAACATTACCTCTATATCTTCTGTATAATAAGATTCCAGGATTGTCACTCAGACTTTGTGTCACTATGAAGTGTAGACGGTCTGAGTCAGGGTGAAGAGAGCACTTTTTGTTTAAAATATCTCCAGGTTCAATCATCGCTGGGATTTGTAGTCTCTTACGATCCAGTGTTTAAGTTCTCAGCCATTTTCATCTTTTTTTTTTACATTTTATGAATTGCACCCATGAAACATCATGGACTTTCAACTAATATCTTTTGTAAAATAGTAATTATTTAATTTTCCTTTGACACAGTACTTCTCTGACACAACTGCCTCTAATTTCAGGAAAAGAAAGAGAGGAGAGACCAGATTGAGAAAAAACAAAAGAAGCTCCAGGTTATCCTTGAGGATGAAACCCCTCCTCCATGGAGCCCACCTGGCAAAGCTGTGTCCTCAAGGAACTACTGAGATGTCCATTGTCCTTTGTGAGGAAAATTCATGTCCAAAGTTCTGACATTGTCTAATCATCAGTATTTCACAACTGACTTTAAAGTGAATTGATACTGGCTCTTGCATCCTTTCTTTTGTAGGGTGATAATTTTTAGACTCCTCAGTTGGAACAACTGGGTGTATGTGCTAAATAGCTCAATTGTTCTTTTCCATTACATTTCACCAAAAGATTAATTTGTGTAATTTTTTTGCATTTAATTTCTTGCTTAAACTTTGTCAGTTGGCCCCTTTTGGTGAAAATTCATGTTCAGGACATGCAGGGCCAGACTCTAAAACACCCTTCTTCATATGAGTAGCACTTTACCCCACAAGTGGTGCCATTGAAGTCAGTGGGCCTGCCTGTGGATTCAGCCTGAGTAAGGATGGCAGAATCTGGCCCAAAATGAGTGGTCAAGCAAATGCTAGGTATGTTCCCATACGAAGTGCAGGGTGAAGTAGAAGAAAATATTTTAAACCATCATTCAAACATAGCTTCAGAGCCAAATTATTTACAAACTGGTAAACAATCCCTGAAGATTGGCAGGGGGAATAAATGCACTAAGCAAAAGGGAAAAAAAAAAAAAAAAAACAACAACAATCCTGAGGCTTTTACTGTATGATGAAACTTGCAATGTGCAGTTGTACAGAATGCATGGATAGCTTAGACTTTTGCAACAGCACAAATATCAGGTTTTTTTCAGTTCGAGTTTAAAGGACTAATAATGCTAGCCCCAGAAAAGGATCATTCAGAATTGTCCTGACTGTATTTAACTGAAGTAAACTTTGTCCTTGTTGAATCAATGGTGCCAGGTCTATTCTGTGAAGAGGGCCAAAGTATATTTTTATGATCCATGGGCCTAGCCTATAATATTAGGACTATATGCTACCTTGAGCTGCAGTAGAGCTTCTACTGATGTGCAAAGATTGATGCTAAGATATGAGCCTTTTGTAGTAACTAAATTTTTTAAGGCTAAATTCCATTCTCAGATACACTCAAGTATGTGCACAGTAATTTCATTAACTGTCAGTATAACTGGATTTATTCCAGAGAATATGAGAACAGAATTTGCAGCCTCTCATAGCTGTTTTAGATTGTCACAAACTCAGAGTGACAACTTGGTAATGGTAATACCCCCTCCTGCACCCCAAGCCCCTGCCCCAGCCCAGAGACCCCTCCCAGAGCCAAGCCCCAATACCCTCTCTGGCATCCAAGCCCCAGCCTTGAGCCCCCTCCCAGAGCCAGCCCCCAATACCCCCTCCTGCTCCCCAAGCTCTAAAGCCAGCCCCCCATACTCCCTCCTGGAGACAGCACCTCATACCCCCTCCTGCACCTGAACACTCTGCCTCAACCTGGAGTCCCCTCCTGCACCCAAACTCCCTCCCAGAGCTTGCACCCTTCACCCCCTCCTGCACCCCAAGCCCCAGCCCTGAGCCTCCTCCCAGAGCCAGCCCCCAATACCCCTCGTGCACCCCAAGCAATATTACCAATAACAGTAATATTACCATATCAACCAACAAAGAACTCAGAGTGTTCAACCGGCTGTGTCGGGTTGATGTGATACAGAAAGATTTAAGAGTTTAAAATTCTTCCCTCTTGGTGATTTTCCCCTCCCTGCTGAATTGTCTCTTTTCTTTGTTCCCCTTTGCAAGAAATCTAAAATAGTCTGGGCCATGCCCTTTGGCTACATTGTTGCTCCTCATATGCTGACTCCAGAATACATACATAGGCTGTATTTGAGAAAGACACATACACTGTTGATAATGCACTTTAGCACTCCGTAAAACTTTTTCTTCCATCTCCCACAGATACCGAAAAGTAATACATACCCCAGCTTCATTAGACTTCCACCCTAATACAAAATCTTAACAGTGACCATAGCAGTGTTAAGGCAGAATAACATAAATGTGTGGAATATGTAATGATCAGATGTGCTGATCTGTTTATGTAAAAGCACAAGAGGTCACTGTTAAGAGTTTATATTAGAAGGGGTGTACGTCTTGCTTTTGGGTATCTGCTGGAGATGGAAGTGAAAGCCTCATGGAACATTGGAGTGCATTATCAATAGCTTTGGAGGCAATATGAAGTTTGAAAGGACTATCTCGTTAACTTTTTATTTCCTTGCTCATGTTTTGGTTGGCTGGAGTGTGTCCTGTTACATCCTTAATTGTCACTAAATATAGTTTTGTTTGCTAATTTTTATATTGGAGGACAGTTTTAAAATACAGCATACTATGGAAAGGAAGGATAGGTATCTTTGATATTAGATCGTACGCTGTGTCTATTTTTCCCTTCCTCTACATATTTTGTGTGAGTTACAATTTCCTAAATGTATTAGAAGATTATGTTTTGCAGTCCATAGATTCAAAATCCATGTGTGGTTTCCTCCTCGGGAATTTGGCAAATAAATCTCTGGCTACAGTTAGTTGTGATTACATATGGAAATATGGGGAGATGTTTAACCATAATGCCCATTTTTTATTTTATTTTTAACTGAGTAATTAGGGAAGTAAAACACGGAGAAATCCTATAATATGCAATTTATATAAGATGCAGTGCTCTCTGGGAGAATATACTCCGGTGAATTTTATGTATGTATAACGCCCTATTGATTCCCTCAAGAACAAGATTTGCTGATCTTGGGAATAAACTTCACAGTGAGCAACATTTAGGAAAATGAAAAATATACAGGGAGCAGGGTTGATACATGACCACATCAAGATCAGAAGAATTTGAAGTAAATAATGCACAAACTAGACTAGCACATGACATTTGGGATGCTGGCTTATCTAAATAATTTTGTAGTGTTCAGAAGCATGCTAGGCACTTAACAGAGTAAGAAAGACAGCTCCCTGCCCCATATATCTTAATTTTTTTATTATAGACATGACCGTACAACTGAGGATAATAACAAAAGGAGCAGAAACATGAAAAATTTATGGTAGTATCACATGGTATTCAGTTTAGGCAGGTGCACATCTTTATTTCTGTTTTGTTCTTTTAATAAGTCTTGTAGGTGATGTGATGGTGGAGAGTTTTTAGGGGGGATTTAAGTAGGAAGGTATAATGGCTGATCGCTCAAGAATAACAAAACATACTTGCAACTTGCATATGTTCTCAGCACTTCAAAAACCAAAGGATAACAATGTGAGGTAAAAAAACCCATAGCATCATGGCTATGTTACCCCAAAAATAGGCTTTGGGGTGCCCATCACCCCCTTAATCTGTCCTTTTCGAGGTATGAGTCTCCAGGATAATTAAGGAAACCGCTTGGAGGACATGGGTATAACCTTCTGATAAAGTGCTTGACACAGGCAGTATTCTTTCCAAATCAAAGTATCTTTTTATTTAATATAACTAATAATCTCTACTACAGTGTAATCTAAAAACATGAATTAGACACAAATCCCTTGTTGCAAGTTAAAGAGCACTCAAACTGCAATAGCAAACACTGTAAACGATTCTAAGCGGTGCGCTCTGCTACTGATGGTCAGTCTGTAATAGATTGCTAACAACAGTTCTTAAATTGTACTCTAGGTTTTACATAGGAAAATTACAATTAACACACACGCACATCTCAAACATGCACATACGAAAATTGTACTGCTCTATACTATAATTAAAAACTAGCAGGCTTACACTATCCATTGATTCCAGCTGTTTGTCTGCTGTTGTTGCTGCTCTGGTCAGTCAGCTCTGCTTGATCTTTCAGCTTTTCACTTCTTTCCAGTAGTTCTTCTCACTAGCTCCTGACTTCCAATCTTTGTCTACTGGTTGTCTGCTTTTTATACTGTCAGACCTCTATTGAGAATTCTCGCAATCTAAACATTGTCTCATTCCTGTTTATTGAGCATGTCACTACTAAACATTACCTCATTCTTAGCTACTGGACAAAGCTGCTCCAAACCATCCCAGGCTGGAGCTGTTTGACCTCTCCCTACCCTTATACTGCAGGTGCTCATTGCCAAGAATTGTCTCATTCTGCACATACTCACTTGTGTTGTTTTACCTGAGAGCCATGATTACCTCGTCTGACCTTACTTCTCATGCTCCAGTTCTCCATTACTTTGTGGCCATACCTCATTTAGTAACCACAAAAACAATGAGGAGTCTGGTGGCACCTTAAAGACTAACAGATTTATTTGGACATAAGCTTTTATGGGTAAAAAACCCCACTTCTTCAGATGCAACATTTAGTAACCTACATTCTACTGGGCATGCTCAGCCCAGAAATACTTGTGGCCATACCTCATTCTACTTGCAGCACTGGTCATGTGACCTAAAGCATCCAACAGTATGTGACCTACAGCTTCTCAGTAGTGAAGTGACTCCTGCTTATTCAAGAAGGAAGCTAGGAATACAAAATGGAGATTAGGAATACAAAGTGGAATCTGGGGAATTTCTCCAGTATCCACTATAGAGAGCATACTTCTACCATTGATGAAAGTGAAGTATTATCGACATGCAAAGGCATCTATAGTCTGTCAAGTTCAGTGTTTCAAATATTATGGTGAACAGTTGTTAGTCTTGTATAATTTATCTTCTGAGTGCTAGTTCAAGTTACAGGTTGATACCTACTTGGCAAGAAAAATCTGATAAAAGTATAAATAAATGTACTTTAACCTGTATAAAATCTTCTCAGTTTACCTTAATTAGGCAAATATTGTAAATATATTTATTGTTGTACATAGTAGGGGAAAATATTTTGATATTAAATTTTGTTTTGATATAGTGGAATCAGTGGTTTCATTTGAAATTAATTTATGAAATCTTACTAGAAACTTTCTATGTATTTAAATCAGCTGAGTAGTTTCAGTGAACACAAACCATTCTTTCACAATTGCTAATATTACAAATAGAACTGAGGGACAAATCCAGTCTTCAGATTTGGAGGCAGAACTCCCCTTTCATTCCATCCTTCATGCTAGGAGTCTAGGGTTGTTTGGCTCATTGACTCTACCTTGTGTTACTTCTGTTCCAATACAGAGAAACTGCTGTGCAACACCAGTGTTTCAAAGTTATGCACCTGGCATATGAGCAGCATCTGACTTATATTTTCCCCCAGGTATATTATTCATCAGTTAAGCTTCTAAATTGATCCATTAAAAGTAGAAATGAATGACCAAGTTAAATTATAAATGCTTTCCAAGCCACAGCAACCAAAAAACACCATGGTATATTGGCTCTGTGTCCCTACCAGTGCAAAGGGAAGGGCAGACATTCCCCACCCTTTTTGCTCCAGAACTGGGGATCTGCTCAGCAAAGGAAAGTTTATTAAAATCAACAAGTGCACTGAAGGATAGAGCAGTGCTTGGGTCAACCTCATTTTTTGTTTAAGACTATGGATAATAAACATGCATATTTATCCAAAACCCCCATTCTGGGTAAGGAAGATACTATACTGACACTTTTCCATCTTTCCCTTAAACTCTTCATAGATTTCATAGCATTTAAGCCCAGAAAAAAATCACTAGATCATCTACTCTGGCCTTCTGTATATTACAGCCCATTAAATTTCAGTCTACCCATTTTGAGCCCAGTAACCTGAGTTTGACTAAAGCACATTTGTTCCCTTCACTATTCT